GTCTAAAAGACCAAACTATTAGAGCATCCCCAGCGTGGGGTTTAGCTCGGGGGACGGGCTCCAAAACGGAGGCCTGAGTGAAGGTGGATCGGCTCCAGCGTGGGGAAGCCGGGGGGAAGGGGCAGGCCCGAGGGCCAGGCCCGTGAGAAATTGACAGGCCTTGAGCCCGGGGTGGGAGTGACGCCATGCTGACGCCAGGGTGGCGTCAGCGTATTATTTAATTTTTTTTGTGTCAGGCGCGTGCACCCCACCCGCGCGTGGGGGCGTGTCCTGACACGTTAATCAGAAAAAAAAAAGTTTTGTCTGTTACCGTTGGGAAGCCACGTGGCTTCCCACGGTACGTTAGATCCTAACGGTCACTTAATGTGGACCGTTAGATCTCAACGGTAAAAAAAAATAAAACTGTCAGATTTAATATCCACCGTTCGATCTGAGATCAACGGTGGATATTAAAATGCTTTATAAATTAAAAAATAAATGAAAAAATAGTTTAAAAAATCTGAAAAGTTACCGTTCTGACACGTGGCACAATCTGGAGCGTTGGAATTCAAATTTTTTTATATCCAACGGTAGAGATTAATTAATTGAATAAAAATTAAAAAAAAAGTGTTAAAAATTCAAAAAATTTCAAAAAAATATCTGAAAAATCTGAAAAAAAAATTGTAAAAAAAATTGTTTTTACTTTTCTATAAATACCTTCTCATTATCATCTACCTTCACAACAATTTCATATTTTCTCAACTACTTTCAATCACATTCCTTTCTTTGTCTCAAAGTTTGAATCCATTTTTTTTCAACAAAATGACCACTGGTGCAGGTACGAATTGGTCGCTTATTGAAGATGTTGCGTTGTGTACTAGCTGGGTTGAAGTTACTCATAGTTCGCTTACGGGTAATGAGATGCAGTTGCGAGAAATGTGGAGTCTTATTCATACCAATTTTCTTGAGAAAATTGGTGGGAAAAGAACCAAAGAATCGATGTCCAGTCGTTGGAAATTACTTAGCCAATCGTTTAGTACGTGGAGAGACGCTTTGGCACAAGCTAGTAATAATATTCGAAGTGGGGAAAATTACTCGGATATGGTAACAAGATATTATTATTTATTGTTTGTATTCTTTATTTGTTACGTACAAAATTTATTATTTATTGTTACTTATTTGTTACATTATAATTATGTTGTTTGTTACATTATAATTATGTTGTTTGTATTATTAATTTGTTTGTTACATTATAATTATGTTATTGTTACTTATTTGTTACATTTATTTGTTACATTATAATTATGTTATTGTTACTTATTTGTTACATTTACTTGTTATGATTAACATGACATATATATATATATATATATATATTTATTTGTTAATTATTTTCATTATTTACTAAACTTGAAGCCTTCTTACTTATTTTCATTATCTTTGTTACTTATATATATATATATATATGTATATATTTGCTAGTTACTTATTTTCATTATAATTATTTATTTGTATTATTTATTTTTATTGTGTAGGAACTTCAAGCACAAGCTTGGTACGCTGCCAAAACCAAAAGCAAAAATAAATCATTCAACCGGTGGGAATGTTGGAATATTGTCAAAGATTGTCCTAAATTTAGAGTTGTGCCAGTTGGTCCAGAAGTGCACATGAACAGCACCCCTCTACACTCTACACCTGATCATGAGAGAGCAGATGATGCAGAAGAAGTGCCCGAAACGCCCCTCCCTGAACAAGCGTCGGGTTCGACCCGTTTTCCAATTAGGCCTTAAGGTAAGAAGGCTACAAAGAGAAAAGGGAGTGCTTCCAAGAACGATTATGCAAAGTTCATGGAAGAACTTACTCGCCAAGGTGAATTGACTTTGGCGAGGGAACTGGCGAAAGATGAGGCTGATAAGGCTGATAAGGCATCAAAAGCAGCAGCTGTTGAGAGAGATTTTTATGCTAATGAGAGAGAAAGATAGCTACTTAGGCAAGAAAGGGAACATGTTAGAGAAGAAAGACGAGCTCAACAAGATCGTGAGATTATGAACATGTCTTTAGAAGGGAAGTCTCCAAATTCTAAATTTTTTTGGAAGTCAGAGAAAGCGGACGTGATGCGAAGGAGGCGTGCAAGAGAAACAATAGCAAGCCAAGGTGGTTCTAGCACCGCAAGAGAAGATCATCCTAGCACCACAAATTGGTTAAGTGATGATGAATAGAGTACTTTTTGTAATCGGAGCCCATAATTTTCCAATCACTTTGGGTTGTAATTTATTATTTATTGTTTGTATTATTTATGTTGTTTCCATGTTCATGAATATTTATTCAAATTAATTTGGTAAGTTATTTATATTAAGAATTAATTTGGTAAGTTATTTAATTTGGTAAGTTATTTATGTTGTTAAAAGTCCATTAAAAGTCCATCGTTCTAATTAAAAGTCCTTTACATAGATTACATATACTAAGAATTACATAAACATAAACATAAAAAAATTACATAAACATACTAAGAATTACATATACTAAGAATTACATAAACATAAACATAAACATACTAGGAATTACATATACTAAGAATTACATAAACATAAACATAAAAAAATTACATAAACATACTAAGAATTACATATACTAAGAATTACATAAACATAAACATAAAAAAATTACATAAACATACCAAATAATAAAACACACCAAATAAAATAACATAAACATACCAAATTCAAAATAACACACTAAAATGAACTTAATTATCTTCAGCTTGTTTCAATGCCCACTGGTGCTCTATCAAGTCAATTTGTCGGGCATTGTGCATGTCTGGCATTTGAAATGCAGTATATCGTTGAATGAACCTTTCATTGTAACGTCCATCCCTTTGTAATGGCTCATGTTGCACGGGGTCATCGGTGGCGTCATGAGCACAATATATACGTGTTCTTGAATTGTTCATCGGGTCTGGCTCATATTCATCAACAGCTTCATAATCGTACTCATCTTCCACAATCATGTTGTGAAGAATGATGCACGTCATCATGATGGATCGAAGCGACTCTACATCAAACAATCTAGCAGCACCCCTGACGATCGCCCAGCGAGCTTGGAGGATACCAAAACAACGCTCCACATCCTTCCTGCACCCCTTTTGATAGCTTGCAAAGTGTTTTTCCTTCGCACTCCTCGGACATGGAACTGTTTTGACAAATGTTGACCAGCGCGGATAGATGCCGTCAGCTAGGTAGTATGGCCCGTCGTACATACGTCCGTTGACCTCATATGTAACTTTTGGTGCCTTTCCTTGCAGGACATCGTTGAACACTGGGGATTGGGCAAGGACGTTGATGTCATTTTGAGCTCCCGGGACCCCGAAAAATGCGTGCCAAATCCATGTATCAAAAGATGCCACCGCCTTCAGAATGATACTTTTTGCCCCTTTTCTGTCCCCGTAAGCGCCTTGCCATGCACTTGGACAGTTTTTCCACGTCCAGTGCATACAATCAATGCTTCCAATCATCCCAGGAAAGTCGCGCATCTCCGCCTTCTTCAACAGCCGCTCCAAGTCCATGTGTGTGGGTTTGCGGAGGTACTCAGCGGTGTAGATAGATTCGATTGCTCCGCAAAACCTCATCAGGGACTCAAGAATGGTTGATTGCCCCATCCTCGTTATCTCATCCACTTGGTCTGCAGATGCTCCATATGCAAGCATCCGCAAGGCAGCAGTAATTTTTTGCTCCGGCAGTAGACCCATAGCACCAAAAGCATCTTTTTTTTGCACAAAATAAGAATCATGGTTGCAAACAGCAATCATGATTTTGTTGAACAAATGTCGTTCCATTCTAAAACGACGTCTAAAGTACGTATCAGGGAATGCACTATTAGGAACAAAATAATCATCCAAGAGTTCCATACCTCGTCGTTGCCTGCTTCTATCAAGGTTTCCGGAACGCCTGGGCCTGCAGATCTGAGCCGCAGCTTGGATGACTTGACGGGAATGTGAGGCTCTGCCCCTTCTTACGTCGTCATCTCTCATTTGACGCTCCTCATCTTCTTCCCTCTCATTTCTTACCCCCTGGTGATTGAACATTGATTCTGATTGGTTAAACAAGTCTTCCTCTTCCTGATTCAATTCCCACATCATCCTTGAGGAAAAAGAAGAAGACATTGAAAGAAAGAAACAGAAACTATGAATATTGAAACTGATTTTTGTGAATAAGGAAGCAGAAATTATGAATAATGATAGAGATCTTGAGAATTTTGGTGTGAGATTTGTGAAAATGGATGGTGGATTATATAGAGGATTCAGAAAGGATTAGGTTCTGCATAATGCCACGTGGCATGCCGTCATTCGTTAAAAATCTGATGGAAATCTATCATCCAAGATTGTTAACAGATTATGACACGTGGCATGCCCTCATTCGTTTAAAATCTGATGGAAATCTATCCTCAAAGATTGTGAACCGATTATGACACGTGGCGCGACGTGATTGGTTAATAATCTTATCAGAAATCCATATTATAATTATTTATTTTGTATTATTTAATAATACTTAGGATAATGACACGTGGCGCATCGACAACGATTAAAAATCTTATCCGATATTACATTTAAAATTATTTTGTATTAATTTTATAATTAAAAAAAATACTAATATTTTATTGCCTATTGCCAGGGCTATAGAAGTGTAACGGTGGAGATGCAAAATCTACTGCCAGGACTACTTACTATTCATTAAGGACAATTATTGTTCATTAGGTGGATTGAATAGTGTATTGCCAGGAGGGAGGGCTCCAACGCTGGAGTTGCTCTTATCAACACTGGACCGTTGCCATTGCGAAAGATTCAGAGCCCAAAAGGCCCAAGCTACCAGACGACCGATAAGACTCGAGTGACGTGGCTCTCCCATTGACCACCCACCCAACCCTATAAATATAGACAATGGAGTGTGCCATCCACACCACCAACCAGAAAATCCAACCTTTAACCAAACCCATCACTTGTTCGAGAGCGAAAGGGCTAGAAATCTCTGAAACCCATTTCAATGGCGTCGATTGTGAGCACTGCGGGGTTTATTTCGTGCGGTGGTTTGAACCGGAGCAGCGGGAGATCGACCACCACGTTCGGGACCCAGTTGGCCTACCCTTTATCCTCTTCTTTCGGCGGTGGTTGTAGCAGGAGGCTGAAGCCGGCGGTGGTGGTTGTGAGAGCGGAGGCTCAGCCTATAAACCCCGAAATTAGGAAGGCCGAGGAGAAGGTTGTGGACACTGTTTTGGTCCCTGAGCTCTCTAAGCCCCTCACTGCTTATTGCAGGTAAGTTCTAATTTTGTTTTGCTATATTTTTCATTATTTTATCGTGTTAATTGTGGAACAACAATAATAAAGTTTTAGGGGTTTTTGAACTTTAATTTGAAGAAGATTAAAATTCAATAAAAACCTGGTATGAGATTGGATATTAATTTCAGTCCTCTTATGTGCACTTAATTCGAATTTATATTATATTTTTGTTTTAATATTTAATAGATATCTTATTTAATGTCATTACATTAAAATTAAAATGATTTATTATTATACACATTTTAATTCATTATTTTTATTTTATTTTATCTAATTAATATACCTAAACGTTCATATCATAATATATTTTACTAAATTAGTATACCAAAACGTCTGTACCAAAATATATGATATTAAACTGGTGAACCAAAATGTTGGTACCTAAATATATTATAATAAATTAGTGTACCGAAATATCTGTATCTAAACATATTATACTAATTTAGTATATCTAAATGTTCGTATCTAAGTATATTATAATGAATTAGTAGTAGATAAGAAAATATGTAAAAACATGTGTATCGAAAAAAATTTATAAAATTTTTTTTTATATAAGATAATTACCACAATGAGAATTTTAATTTATAATATTTTCATAAAATTTAATTTATGAACACCATAAAATTATAAATAATAAAGGAAGACATTTAATATGTTGTCATTAAATAGAGTCTGAGGACTAAAATCAATTTTTAATCTTGTATAAGACAGTTTTCTAATCTTCAGCTTATTTAAGGATTAAAATTTAGTTTTCTAAAAGTTTTATCCCATTAAGTGAATGGACTGTATGAATTTTAGAATTGTCACTGCACTCAATTTAGCGTCAACTCTTCCGCTAACTTCAAGTACTTTATGTCTTTTACTAGAATCTATTTCAACGTAATCGCATTTTTAACTGGAGCATTTAAAGTTTTTGGTTCGTATGTCCAAACCGTTTTAACCGATTTTCTCTCATCTTATCTTATTTGATCATGTTAGTTGTGGAAAATTTTGTAGTTTTGGTGACTGATTCTTTAGATGTGAAGTGTATAATCATGAAGTTTTGTTGTAGGATTAGTGCTAATTAGACTGTAACAATGAGCATTGTTTGAATTTTCGTGGTTTGGAGAAGAACTTATCGAAATTTTAGTTTCGTAATTATCGATTGCTGCAATTAGTGCTTCTTTAACTAGAAGAGCTACTCTCGAAATTGGTTTTTGAACATTTCTAGTCTTAGTTGTCATGACTGACATTGCTGATTGCTGAATGCGAAATGTAGAATAAGGCGGTGTGTGGTATATTTCAATGTCGTTTTTCGTTCACTGCCGTATTCTATTTACATTTTGCATACTCTGTCATTTGTTTTTATGCGCGCCCGGCTAAAATGTGTCTTGATTGCTTGTATGGTAGTGTAAGGCTCAGTAGAGTAATTAGGGTTTTCGGTTTTGTGGTTGGATAGGTGTTGGAGGTCAGGGACTTTCCCGCTGTGCGATGGAAGTCATGTAAAGCACAATAAAGCTACCGGTGATAATGTTGGACCGTTGCTCGTCAAGAAGCAGTGAGTTGCAGTTCGATGCTAGACGAGGTATGTCAGTATTTCAAATGGGTTTTGAAATGTGAGATTATATCATGTGGAAGTTGAATGAATATGTTTAGTGTATCATTTGAAATCTGAATAATATGTGATGTGAACATGTTAGTTGAGCCGTTTAATCGTTTCACGTTTCAAATAGTAAGAGCAGTTTCACTCTTTCTTTTACTAGCCACTTTAAAGCGATGCCCCGAGATTTGTGTGACGGGTCATCGTTGTCTTGCTTTCGGTCGCTATTGCCAGAAGCATCTGTGAATTAAAGCTCACTGCTTTCGGATTGTGGATGTTGAACCTTATCGATTTTCCACTGTGTTCGGTTTCTCAGTTCAAGAAAGTACTTGTACCGTGGCAAAATACCCTTTTATTGTTTTGGTAACTGTTCAAATTCTAAAGCTCCGCCATTCAAAAACGTAAGGAGGTTGTAGCTAAATTACCGAAGGTATAAGTACTTTCCTGAACATAGAACCCAAAAAAAGATTATGTTAGAACGATGTTAGAAATTCTGTGAGAATGTGCACATTCATGGTTGTTAAAGAGTATTTTGCCAATTGGCTGAGTATTTTGCCAATTGGCTGGAAAAGTGAGTGCGATACCAATACACTGAACTCATATAGGAATCAAACTACGTGGGTTGGAAAGTGTGATACAAAATATATTGAACTCATGAGTGTGATAACGATATATTCAACTCACACTAGTGTAGCAGTAGTGTTGTAGGGATCAAACATAGGCTGACATTCTTATATATTGGTGTCACACTCGCTCAAACTATTATGGAAGAACTTATTTTGCCCAACCCCCTAAACCCATGTTTAGCCACATTTCGTCCAAAATGTGACATGTCGGTCTTAAATTTTAGGGAAAATTTGAATAGGTCCAATTTTATAGGTCAACTTTTGAAATAGGTTTAATTTTTAGTAACTTTTGACTTTGGAAATAGGTTCAATTTTTAGTTACTTTGGACCCATATCAAAAGACCTCTAAATTTTATTTTGGTTTGCCATCTTTACTTTCTTTAATGTTATTTGGTACTGTTCTTTTCTTGAAATGTGACATTTTTCACTAAAAAGTTGGAAAATGCGAGAAAAATATGATCATGGGGGAAAATTGGTCACAATAAAAGTTGAAGGGCGAAATCAGCTATAGGGTAAAAGTTGAGAAGGAAAATTGGTGAAATACTTGAAATTATACATTCGGACTAGAAAGTTTGTTGATGACTTCACATTCTTGCCAGCTTGAGTTCATCATGGAGGAGAAATGTTACAGTGTGTTAGGTGTAATAATACAATTAGTTAGAATTTTTTTAAAAAGTTTTCAATTAATTGTATTATTATACCCGATATACTGGACTGTATTTCATGCATACTGAAAAACCTCTCATTGTGGAGGGAGGCATTAAATAATAATGACATTAAGAGCAATGATTAAAGTAAATGACCATGTTAAAGAAGCGGAACAGATGTTGTTGGGTTGTGGATGTTCCGTTCAAAAGCGAAAGGAAAAAGAGAGCACCGTGATCATTTCTAATCATCCCTCTAATACGAAGATTTAAATTTTGATTTAATCAGAACCGTCCACGATTCAAAACCAGGAGTGGACTTGGAATTTTTCAACGTTATTGTCGCACATAAAGCCAAGTCGATCCGTTGAAGGCAAGTCGGAACCGAGTCGTGTTGAATTGTAAAGCAATTTTTTCAGAACGTTGGGAAATTGAAGAAAAATTAAAGAAATCATCAGATTTTTCTGTGCATCAATTTAGAAAGAGCTTAAATGTAAATTGAAATTCACTCTCGATTTATATGTTTAGAGTTTGCAAAACAAGAGATTTGGATCTCTCAATTTTGATCACAAGACTCCTATTAGTCTATCACACTGATTCCTTTTACAAAATTTGAAAAATTGATGTTTCAAATTTCTTTTTTTTTTTTTTCTTGAACGGCTCAGATCTTATAGTTTGTAGGTTGTTTTAGACACCGAGATCCAAAGTGGATCTGAGTCCCTTACACACAATTGTAATGTAACAATGACGATAATTCAATCATGCTATGTTACGCATAAAAGTTAAAAAGACGAGGCAAAACCGCCCACACAGCAAAAGGCTCAACCATAAGCTAGGGGGAATGTTGCAGGATATATTTGTGACTGCTTCCCTAACATTCCAGTTGTATGTAAGTTTCTCTTAGGATCTCAATTTCATTAGAATATTATATTTCAACATTGGTTAAATCTCAAAAAAAAAGTCGCATGGATTAGTTGTTAGTTTCTGTTCCATTTGATAGATCTTGAAAAACGACTAGCAAGCACCAATTATGGGAAGACATGAAAGTTGTTCCACATGCAACCTTATTTTTAGGTTTCAATAACTATGGTGTCTCCGTGTCCAACGCTCCAATCTTATACAATATAAAAATATTGGCACATCTTATACCATATAAATTTTTAATTTAATTAGGTTTTTCAACCAAAATGGATCATGTGATTGGTATAATTCTTCTTCATTTTGGTTCATTAGGTTTGAAAACAATAGAAGTGGTCATGTATTTGTCCACCATTAATCATTTTGATCGTTCCGTAAAAAAAATCTCTATTAAATAACAATAAAATGACAAAAATGCTTTCAATTTTTGTCAAATCATTTTGGTCAATTGTTTATTAAATTGATGGTATTTGTTATTTTATAGGTCCTTATTTAACATAATTTTTTTCACGGTAGGAACAAAATAACTGATGGTAGACAAACTCAGGGACCACTGCTATTGATTTCAAATTTTATGGACCAAAGTGAGGAGTTATGTTAATCTTAGGGATCATTTTGACTAAAATTTTTTTTTAATTATTAATCAAATTCCAACTTAAGTTATAGTACAAATTTGATTTACACCACAATATTTGGTCTTGTCTTAAACTAAGACAAAACCTTCGATGAATGATCCAATCTTAGTATTTACAGATTTTACATTTGAAAGCAACCAACGATGACATATAAACATAGTAGTCTTGTGTTTAGTGGTTGACTAAAACAATGTTATATGTTCCCTAGTCTACGTATTTAAGTTCAATCGCACACTCCTGTAATTTAAATAATATTTCTTTGCGTTCAAAAAGACAAGACATAAATATTTATAGCATCACTTCTCTCTAAAATTTCCCTCTCATTAGTGCAAGAAATAAAAAAAATAATTCTCAGAAGCATCCAGGATTCCCACCCATATGCTGTTCAGTGGAGTATTAAAAAGGCCATTTAATTAACGTTTTCCAATGACTAATTAACTAGTATTTTGATTAGCAATGGAACATAAAAAAAGTTGGAATTTGCTTATGGTGAACAATCACACTCTTCCAGCAATAAAAAAAGGGCCAAGATGCAAACAAATTTTCCATTCAGCCCTCAAAACAATAGCACACTTCCTTTTAATTTTTCAACGGGAGAATCATTCGTGTGTTTGTCAATATTGTGCCTTAAATCTAGAACCAGACAATAAATTTGATTATGAAATTCTACCGTATTTACACTGGACTACTTGTGATTATTAATTAAATACAAATATTAAACAGACCATTAAATTAGACCATAAGATGTAATTTTCAAACTTGTTAATTAAGTTTTTAAGTAATTTGCAAAATTCAATTAGAACCCACTTGGGAAATGCTTACACCTTCTCCACCGTTAATAATCTGCCACTTGTATTACTGGATGTGGAAAATCACCGCCAGAGACGACTGTTTTGTCGGCGGTCCACCCCGAAGGGGCCACAGTCTCCATCGTTACAGCTGCCACCCCCACCACCGACGCCACTCAATCTCTACGCGCCAACGAACCAGCAGTACTTCTTCCGCCCCCGTATTCCGTATTCTACGCTTCTGCATACGCTGAACGTACTCCAAAACGACGGCGTATCTTACATAATCTAACAGGCGGTAAAATCTCCGTCTTAGGCGCTCATGTCACGCACCACGTGCCACAGCTACGTCAAACCCTTCACGTGTATTTCACTCCTTCCCCGTCGGACATGGATCCTCTCCGGATCCATGCATCCTAATCCTAAGGATTCTTCAATATGGATCATTAAAATTTGATCTAACGATTATAAATAGAGACCTACTTTAAAATTATAATAAATTTAACCGTTGGATCAAATTTTAAACATCCGGATTGGATTAGGATGCATATCTGGAGATGATCCATGTCGTTCCCCGTCTTTCACCGTCTTCCAAAACAAGTACTTCCAAATTACAAGCTGCCACGTGCCGGTTCACACTGTGTCGGTTCCAGTAGCAGCCTGTCGTCACACCGCACACGTGTCCCCTTCCTCGATCTCCTTCTTCAATCTTCACGGCCACGCACTCCTCCCACTCGAAACAAACAAAAGAGCTCCACTTTCCTTTCTCTCTCCCAACCTCCACCACAAAACACCACTTTTTCCGGTTAAGCTCGCCGGAGAATCCTACCAGCTCCACCACATGTTTTCGGTATCGGACCACAAGTTTCCGGAGCCCCAAGCCAAGCGGCCCCAAAGCCTCGACAAGGTAAACTCGTTCAACTCGATCCTCCAACTCATCCACCAGCCGCGGACATGCCTGCTCTTCGCTATACTTGCCCTCCAGGTCCTACTCCTCTTCACTCTCCGCTCCCTCCCCTTCGCCCGCCAACATTTATCGCCTACCTACTCCCCTCAACCTGTCCGGTTACCATTAACTGTACCCGAACCGGAAGATGAATGCGGGTCGGGTCGGGTCTTTGTCTACGACCTCCCCAAAACCCTCAACCAAGAGATTTTACAGAACTGCGACGACCTCAATCCGTGGAGCTCGCGCTGCAAAGCTTTAGCGAACGACGGCCTCGGGCAGAAAGCGACGGGAATCAAGGGAATCGTGCCGGATAATCTTGTGCCGGCGTGGTATTGGACGGACCAGTTCGTTTCGGAGGTGATTTTTCACAATCGGATCCTCAATCATAAGTGTCGAGTCATGGAGCCCGAATCTGCTACGGCGTTCTACATCCCTTTTTACGCTGGACTAGCGGTGGGCAAGTACTTGTGGTCGAACTCCAGTACGGCGCAGGACCGCGACCGCCACTGCGAGATGATGCTGCGGTGGGTCCAGGACCAGCCGTCATATAAAAAATCAGATGGCTGGGATCACTTTATCACGATGGGCCGGATTACGTGGGACTTTCGACGGTCCAAAAACGACGATTGGGGCTCTAGCTGCATTTACCTCCCAGGGATGCGAAACATCACGCGCCTCCTGATTGAGCGAAACCCGTGGGACTATTTCGATGTCGGTATTCCCTACCCTATCGGATTCCACCCGAGGTCGGACTCCGACGTTGCCGATTGGCAGAACTTCGTCCGAAACCGCAGCCGCTCGAAGCTCTTCTGCTTCGCCGGAGCGAAGCGCGGCGCGATAAAGAATGACTTCAGGGGGCTGCTGCTGAGTCACTGCCAAAAGGAGTCGGACACGTGCCGAGTGGTGGACTGTGCGGGGACCAAATGCTCCAACGGCACCTCTGCGATTCTCGAGACCTTTCTCGACTCGGATTTCTGTTTGCAGCCGCGGGGCGACAGCTTCACCCGCCGGTCCATCTTCGACTGCATGGTGGCCGGTTCGATCCCGGTCTTTTTCTGGAGGCGGACCGCGTACATACAGTACGAGTGGTTTTTACCAGGCGAACCGGATAGTTACTCTGTTTTTATAGACCGTAAAGCGGTTATAAACGGTACGGCCTCGATAAAAAATGTTCTACAAGGAATTAGCAGAGAGAAGGTGAAAGAAATGAGAGAGAAAGTAATCGATTATATACCGAATTTTCTGTATGCGAAACCGCAGGAGGGGTTGGAGACGGTAAAAGACGCTTTTGACATTGCCCTGGAAGGGGTCATCAGGAGGTTCAAGCAGCAGGGAGAGTTGGGGTTCAGGTGGAAATAGAAGAAAATGGCCGGGGTAGAGTCGGGCGGGTAGATTATTATTATTTTTTTTTTCACTTTTTGTTTATTTTATTTATCTGTGTCAGATAAACTGGGGGGATAAACAAATTCCCAGATTTGTGGGATAAGGGCCATGGGAACGGAGAAGCAGTCATTTAATTATTTTAGTTTTTACAGTTTGTGTATCTAAATTTTTGCTACATTGTACCAGTTATTTTAGTGATATTTTTGGTTACTAGATACAAATACGACCAGTTGTCACGGGTATAAATTTACGTACAAATTTACCGATCGTGTACCAACGAAGACGCTCGAATTTTAGTAGCGATAGTTTGGTGGTGTGGCATGGTGAAGTTGTAAGTGATCCATTATTTTTGGTTGGAAGTGGATGGACATGGATGGAGAAGAATAAATTATCACACTGGAGTTTGTTTGAATTCTTGTGTTACATGTAGCATTTGTGATGGACAGATAGGTATCGATATATCGTGAATTGTTTCGAGTTTTGGTGTTTGAAGAGGCAGTGTGTGATTCAATTCGTAATGTGCTAGCAAGGAGAAGAGATATATGTTTGCCACTGTCAAGCGAAAAACCGCCTCACGTATAGCAAGTTGACTATCGATTTAAATTTTTGTCACTCATTGAACTTAAAAGAGGTCTAATAACTATTTTGTATTAGTGTTTAGTAATGCTCGCGTATGTATCTTGATTTGTTGACGTAGATTTTAATTGCCTAGTTGTTATTTTAATTTTGATGTGACTGAGAGAGTATAAATTAAATTTTTGCAATACAAAAGTGCCAGTTGGGGAGATTTGTGTATTTTACATCTTCCTTTAAATTTTCTTGTTGCAAATGTCATATTCACGCATCCTATTTTACTTCTCATATCTCTTTTTAATTTTCGACTGTCGGATCAGATGAATTTAATAAGATCAAATGACATAAATTAATAAGAGGTGTGTGAGAAGTAAAAAGGACCGTGTGGATAGCACACCCCTTCCATAAATTGAATTAGGTGGCCACTTTAAACTTTGGAGATGATGCAAAGTGTGTGATAAAGTATATAAGTGTGGACCAACAAGCAAGAATGGGACATAAAGTGGTCAAGTAGGTTTTATATGCGTCCAAATAAATGGTTCATGCACCACTATAGAAGATAGTGAATTGCTAAATGAGCATATGGATGGTACTTGATAGTTTCATAAGGTGCATTATTGGAGGGATTTTTCAGTGTCAGGGCACATGATCAAGTATATAAAGTGTCATCATATAAATGGTTGGATGCTGAAAAAACTTTCAATCACTAATATTATGATAATTTATGTATATGGTCGTGTTACTGGCACACTGACAAATTCTTGCATTATTGGTGGGAAGGAGTTTGGTAGTGATGCCTTTATGTTGATAAAGGAACCCAATATCCACTTTGAGTCTTTCAAGGAGAATAATCCCATTTAAGGGAGATAATTGTTTTTCAAAAATGGAGACGAATTGAAATAACTGTATTCAAGTTAATTGTGCAGCATCATGTGAAAAAACGAGTAAAAGTTATGCTTTGGTTTGAGAGGGGGATAGTATTTTTCTTCTGCATATTTGTAATATCCAACATTGTTTATGGGAGTGGATCTTGTAAACCTTATATATATATATATATTTCCATTTCTATTTAGCACGAGGTCTTTTGGGAGCTCACTGGCTTTGGGTTCTGTACGAACTCCGAAGTTAAGCGAATTCGCACGAAAGCAATCACAGGATGGGTGATCAACTAAGAAGTTCTTATATGAGTTACCAGAAACAAAGCCGTGAGGGTGTGATCGGGGCTTAAAGCGAATAATATTGTGTTACGGTGGAGTCGAACTCGGAATGTGGTGGAACCCAAGCATGGATGTGACAATATCCGTGGAGTTTTAAAAAATCCAAACATTTTAGAGATAGAAATGTAGGAATTTATCGAACTAACCATACTCTTTCGTTTACGTCTAGAGTCTATCGACGAGAAGAGGAACCTGAACCCAATTTCTACGATAATGAATATAAGCATCTAAACGTATGTCAATACATGATTAATTTGACTTACCATCATAACTAGATATTCGTAAAGTAGGCACTCTCACAATTCACAAACTATGGGAGTCAATGCATGTCGAAGTCGGATAGGCTGGTTCTCTTCTGTAGTGTGCCTATGCAAACCTTTTGTCCATTTCTTCTCGATCGTAAATGAATTTGGATCCTCTCCAAATCCCTCATTGGGGATCCTGAGGATTAATGCACAAGGATCGTTCATCAAAGATTGCGTGGTCATAATTAAATATTTTTCATGCAAAACGAAGCTGTTTTACTTTTAAAAATATAAAAAATATTTAATTGTGACCGTACGATATTTAATGAACTGTTATTGTGCATTGATTCCCGAATTGCACTGAGGGAATCCAAATCCAACGGAAATGCGGTTAATCACACAGCGGACTCAAATTTTTTCAGTATGACATGGACGCGAGGACCAATATTTCTGATCTTAGAAAACAAAAAAACTAGGCTGATAACTGGCCCAAACAATATTTGGGCTGGTAGCTTGGTTGGGTTAGTTTCTTGGCCCATTTGCAATTAACATGCAACAACATAGTTGTTTTTAATATTGTTGAGTCGGCTCACATGGAACTCGTAGAAAGGGAAAGGAGAGTTGCTTGTACACGAAACAACAAATAGATCGAAGTTGCCTCGAACTTTCTTCTTTTCCGTTTACTTGGATGGTGGAAATTGGGAAGTCATGAAATGGAGTGGTCTATGTGATTGATGATGAACTCTAGACACGTATCTTACAGAATATGTTTTAATTTTAATTATGATGTGAATCACAAAATAATAATAAATAAAGAATGACTAAAATACCTTAATGAGCCTTTTCAATTTCAAAAGATTAAACTGCCACGGCAAAACCACCTCAGATCCCTTTGTTAAAAGAATTTGTATTCCACCCGCCACACCTTACAATTATATCCACGTATTTGTTGGTGTATGTATGTCTCTAGCACAAAAAGGATTTTCCGATTTATAAAAACTCAAAAAATATAGCCAATATTTTCGAAAGACGGATTTGCCCTTACTTGTCTTGACGGACATAAATGATTTACTCTATTAAGTATTAAACCGCCGGAACACTCGGTGCCCACAAAAATATCATCTTCCACTCCCTGACGCATGCTTTTCTTTGACTCCTCCGCATCCCGCAAGTCGTCGCCGTCGCCGTCGCATTCTCTCTGCAGCAAATCATCAAACATGTTCAGAGCGTTCTCTTTTCTTCTTCTCCTCCAAGCTTCCGTCGTCTTCACGCTCTCAGAGGCCAAGCTAAGCATCATACGTCCCGAAGCTGCCGCCAAGGGCTTCAACGTCAGCAACGTCCAGGTACAGCACTTTGCAAAGCTTAAATTTCCTTTAATTTAATTTGATTTTTGTGATTTTTTTGTTGATAATTTTGATTGTTTTGGTGCTAAAGAATGCGGGGACTTGTTCGTACACGGCGGTGATAACCACGAGCTGCTCCTCGACGAGGTACACGAGGGATCAGATCAGTCTCTCCTTTGGGGATGCTTATGGCAACCAGGTTTGTTCTTCTACCTACTCAGTTTTTCATGTTAATTTATCAGAAAACAGTGTTGAAATCTTAATCATGTAATATGATCGTGTTTAGAATTGATCGTCCAACTTGGGTTGTCAAAGAAATAAGAAGAAAATTGAAATTGAAAAAGAAAATTTGGGTTTATCTTCGAATTTAAGACCGATCCGTTTGTCGAAATTCAAAGCCTAGTTATTGGTAATTCTATTTTTCTAGAAGATGGAAGGAATTGGGGTTTCAATTTTTATTGTTTTAACCTCAGTGAAGGGATTAAGCTTAATCTTTTTTGTGTTAAGTGGAGCAAGAAACAACGACGACAACAACAACAACAAAGCCTTTTCTCACTAAATAGGGTCAGCTATATGAATCTGAAAATGCATGTTACGCTCGGTTATGATTAAGTGGAGCAAGAAACAAGCAAAAAAAAAGTGTTTTCAAAATCCTACTCAACAGGAATTGTATTTTGTTGTCTTAGGGCCTGTTTTCTTTGTAGAAGTGCTTCGTGTAAACACATGTAGGTATATATTTAGGAGTTTTGGCATGTTTGGAATAATAACACTTCTAGCAATAGCGCAGAGCAATGTTTTTACTTTTCAGAGGCGAAGGCATTTAGGGCTTTGCAAGGCGTAACTCTAGGCGTACGCCTTTCTGAATTTTCGCCTTCGATGGCTGCGCCTAGGGAGTTTCAGTGACACCTTGCGCAAGGCACGCAATTGCATGCCTTTCAAGACATTTGCGCATAACAGTCTCAAATTGGCCATTAGCAGAAGTGCACCTTTTTGAAGTTTGGGTTGAGTATGTTGAGCAAAACCAATGTATTAGGAATTTATACATGGTTGCATGCGCATCTAAACTGATTAGAATGAATTTGATGTGTTAAATGTGAAGCCAGTGCATTGGCGTTTTGATTTGGTTGCATATACATCTGAACTTATAGAACCAACTTAATGCGGACAAATGTGAATGCTAATATTAGATTTTGGTTGCATATACAAATTATCAGGATCATTTTTCTTGTTCAGATTTATGCGCCGCGATTGGATGATCCATCTTCAAGAACATTTGAACGGTGTTCTACAGACACATTTGAGATTTACGGCCCCTGTGCATACCAAATCTGCTATTTGTATGTCTACAGATCCGGACCGGATGGTTGGAAGCCTGAGAATGTGAAAATCTATGGCCACAATTCCAGGGCTGTTACATTTAGCTACAACACCTTCATTCCCAATGATCTTTGGTACGGCTTTAACTGGTGCAACACCGCCTCCTCTTCCGCCCGGAAATCTGCTCACAGACGGCCTCTGTATGCCGTAGCTGCGCTCTTTGTTTTTCTTATGTTGTAATCGTGCATTTGCCCTTATGTCTATAGCCTCTTACATTTTGCTTAGTTTTATTTGTATGTCAGTATTTTAGAAGAAAAAGTACACACTTTGTATTATGGACCCACCAAACTGTTATATTTCAAACATTTCTTTGTATTTTACTCGCAATCTAACGGCTGTGATCAAATGAGATCAAATCTAAAAGTAGAAAAAAGATTTGACAAACCAAAATTAAACGTCTAAAATAATTTAAGAAAATTATTTAAATCAAATTTGACTTAAAACTTTATAAATACCTATGTATTTGTATGATTTTTAAGTACTTGTCAGAATTTAAATATTTTTAAATTAAAATGTTCATAAAACTAAATTAGAATAATCTACATAAATTTTATTTTTAAAAAAGTTATTAAAAAAAAAGGCTAAAATCATTATTTAATAAGCTTAGCCTAAAATTTTAAGCTATAAGGCCTTCTCCAACTCTAGGCTAAAACTCAAATTTTCACTTCTATTCCCCCTCAAAACTCAACCCAACCTAATGTTAAAATGTGGCTTAAAACCTAAAACTCAAATGGAAGCCAAATTTAGCCTAGGATTTAACCAAGGATTAGTGAAACTGGTCCACCATAAATGTATATTTTATTTAGTTTTATATTTATAAATTCATTGAATCCAACGGTTAAGATCTAATTTGATGAAATTCAACGGTTAAAAAAAAAAAATTTAACGGCCCAAATTTAAATCTAACGACTAAAGTAATTAAAAAAAATCTTTCATTTGTTTCATATTTTTTCATGGTGTTTAACGAGTTTCATGGTGTCGGTTGGTGAATTTTCAGTATTTGTCAGAATCTAAATATTTTTAGGTTAAAATGTTCATAAAATTAACTTAGGATAGTCTACATAATATTTTTTATTTTAAAAATGTTACTTTTAAGAAAAAGAAATTAGTTTAAATTCATTTTTTAATAATCTAGGGCTAAAAGTTCAGGTCGGAAGGGTTAGAGCAGAAAAACTATTTATGGGTGAAAACTCAAATTTTCTGGGCTAAAAATTTTAGGTTTTAGGCCAAGGGTTGGAAGAGAAAAATAGATTTTGGATTATAGCTTAAAATTTTCGACCTTATATTTTTAAGCTTTATCCCCAAGGATTGAAGATGATCTTACTACATTGGTAAAAATATGTTGAGTCCTTGCATGGCATGACATGTAACAAAATCTATCGTTAATACAATATTAGTGAATAAGAAAATTAAAAAGGAAATAGGTCGTATCGGCCATCGACGACGTCCTTCTCTGTTTTCTAAAAGCCCAAAAAATGTCGGTGCCACGTTTTATTTGCGGGCGTGGAGTCGTTCACCAGGTCCAGTGGATATTTCTTTTCAACGGCTCAAAAACAAACTTCGTCGCGGTACTCAATCCAACGGCCAAAGAATCCTCCACCGCTAAAACCATAAAAGGCGCAAAACCCTAATTCTGTTTCCCCTCTCTCTTTCTCCTGCTAACGGCAATTCACTGCCATAACTTTCTGTAGCAGGAGAAAACCAGGAACCCCCTCTATCTCTCTCCGCTGCGCCGCCGCCTCTTTCTCTTTCTAAACTCGCAGACAGAAGCGTTTTCTCTCTCTAGAAAACCATGCCTTCTATAGAAGTATCCGATTATCTACTTGCGGGAACCACTCCGAAGGAGAAGAAGATGAAGAAATTGAAAAGTGACACCCTAGACGCCGTGGCCGACTCGCCAACTACTGAGAAGAAGTCGAAGAAGGAGTCTAAGCACAAAAAGCGGAAGGCTTCGGATGACGAGGACAGGAGCGAGACGAGCTCCGAGATGGGCGAGCCCGTGAATGTGAAGCCTCCGAAGAGCGAGGAGAAGAGCAAGAAGAAGTCAAAGAAGGCGAAGGTGGAGCCGGAGGAGGTGGACGAGGAGAAGACCGAGGAGATGGTTAAAGAGGATCCTAACGCGGTGTCCAAGTTTCGGATTTCGGCGCCCTTGAGGGCCAAATTGAAGGAGAATGGGATCGAATCCTTGTTCCCTATTCAGGCCATGACATTCGATACCATTTTGGATGGTTTGGATTTGGTCGGCCGGGCTCGAACAGGGCAGGTAAATTTAATTTACTCAAGAAGCACAAATTCTTACGCAGAAATCACGAATTTTTACCATCAAGCACAAATTTTTACTCACTGTTTTGTGGTTTGTTGATTTGAATTGGAATATTTAGCTTATTAATGTGGATTTGTTCAGTTTTGGAATCGTATGATTATTGTTTTGCAACATTTCAGGGTAAAACTCTGGCTTTCGTGTTGCCTGTTTTGGAGTCTTTGACAAATGGGCCTGCAAGAGAATTTAGAAAGACTGGTTATGGTAGACCTCCAACTGTTATCGTGCTTTTACCCACCAGGGAACTTGCCAAACAGGTAATTTTTATTTACCCTGGACCTTATGCTTGCAATGGTTTGGATTTTAGAGTATCCACTTGACAATTTTTGGTTCAATTAGGTTTTTGCCGATTTTGAAGCTTATGGTGGTGCTGTGGGGCTAGCAGCGTGTTGTGTATATGGTGGATCTCCCTACGGGGCTCAAGAAAGTAAGCTAAGGAGAGGGGTGGATGTTGTTATTGGAACACCTGGCCGCATAAAGGTATTGACTATTGCCCATGATAGCTGAGTTCTTGTGTCAGTTCCGTCCTATGCAATATACTTATGAAGCTAAATTGATTTTTTTGGAAATATGTAGGATCATATAGAGAGGGGCAATATCGACTTGAGTACCTTGAAGGTTAGGATCCTTGATGAAGCTGATGAAATGCTGAGGATGGGCTTTGTTGATGATGTTGAACTCATTCTAGGTATGTCTTTTTGGTAATGCCAACATCTGCTTTTTATACCATGTTTGCTAATTTGTGTTACTGGTGCGTAACATCTATAAAGTATTTTGTATCCATGTTTGTGGTTAGTGCAAACAACGAGGTTTTTTTTTTTTTTTTTTGTTAATTGTATCATCTCCATCTGAAGCTTGGAATCATCTTATCTCTGTGTATGGCAAAGAATTCTGTTGCTATTTGACTCCTGTCATATCAATAACCTGTTAAATCAATGTTATTCTTATAGTACGCTGTCAAGGCATCTTTGTTTGACAGGGGTAACTAGAGTTTTAAATTTTTTACAAGGTTACTTTAATTGTGCAAAATTTCTGTGTCTATGATGCTGGTTACATTTTTGAAGTGTTATGTTGTGTGTGCTGTTTCTTTTTTTTTTTTTTTTGGCGGTAAGAACTTTATATGGCAATGATTGTCTCTTCTTTGGATTTTCAGGCAAGGTGAAGGATGTAAGTAAAGTTCAAACGCTTCTCTTCAGTGCAACCTTGCCGAGTTGGGTGAAAGGCGTAAGTATCTTAACTGAGATTTTGAATTTGGATGTTCTTCTGAATTCAGTTAAACATAGATGGATAATGTTGCAATGTTAAATCTTTCCTTCCATTGTCGACACATATAATGAAATTTTCCTTTTCTTTTCCCAGATTTCTTCTAGGTTTCTCAAACCAGATAAGAAAACTGTAGATCTTGTTGGTAATGAAAAAATGAAGGCCAGCACCAATGTTAGGCATATTGTTCTTCCTTGCTCCAGTTCAGCAAGATCAGAACTTATTCCTGATATCATACGTTGCTACAGCAGGTTGGTCGTTTTCTAGTCAACAAGTACTGTATGCTTTCTAATTTTATTTTTGGGTGTAGTTTGTTTGGAAATCATTTTTCATGTACTTGATATGTTTGTTTCCGGTTCAGTGGAGGCCGCACAATCATTTTCACTGAGACAAAGGAAGCTGCTTCTGGACTTGCTGAGGCGCTGCCTGGAGCCCGGGCTTTGCATGGGGACATACAGCAGGGCCAACGTGAGGTGAGTTGTTTGATTATGCATTGTTTTCTGTTTTGTACAATGATACTGAACTATGTTATTTCTTGCTCCTTTCCTTTCATATTGATATTTCATTTTTTAAAAAGCTAGATTTTTTTCCCAGATGGCAGAACTTATTTTTCCTTTTTTGTGGTTGTATTTTCAGGTCACGCTTGCTGGTTTCAGGTCTGGCAAGTTTATGACATTAGTAGCCACGAATGTGGCAGCGCGTGGACTGGATATCAATGATGTTCAATTAATTATTCAGGTTTGTCAGTGTGCATATTGGTGAGCTTTCTAATGTTTGTCAATGTGTATACTTACTTTTATTGTTTATGGTTCAGTGTGAACCCCCACGTGATGTAGAAGACTATATTCATCGATCTGGACGCACAGGGAGAGCAGGTAAATCTTGAAAAAATGTGGCATTTTTTGTTCATTTGTATTTTATTACTTAATGTCTTTAGGGTTATGTGGTAGGTACTTAGAGGTGTGTCCATATTTTCAGGCAATTCTGGAGTTGCAGTCATGCTTTATGATCCCAGAAGGTCAAATTTTTCAAAAATCGAGAGAGAGTCGGGGGTGAAATTTGAACACATTTCTGCTCCTCAGCCACTTGATATTGCCAAAGCAGTTGGTCAAGATGCAGCAGAAATGATAACCAAAATCTCTGACAGGTAGTGTAATGCTTGTTACATTTTGATGCAATCATGTTCAAATTTTAACACGTTTACCCAAAAAAAAAGTTCAAATATTAATACATTTTTCATTTCAGTGTAATTCCTGCTTTCAAGTCTGTTGCCGAGGAGCTACTTAACACCTCTGGCCTATCTGCAGTAGATCTACTGGCAAAAGCACTTGCTAAAGCTGCTGTAAGATTTGCTATTTCTTCCCTACTTGATGTGCTTCACGTAAATGTTTGTTTATCAGTTTATGAGTTGTTTATGGTATGGTGTGCAGGGCTACACTGAGATAAAGAAGAGGTCACTTCTTAGCTCTATGGAAAACCATGTCACAGTACTTCTCGAGGCTGGAAAGCCCATTTATTCACCATCGTAAGCAATTATCACTAGTTGCCTTGTGTTCGAAACCATTATGTCTTAAGTTCTTTTGTTTTATTTCCACATATGGATACAAACACTAGCTAATGATGGGAACTATATCGATTGTGTCTTAAGGTTGTCACAATGTGCTTTTGTCATCCCAAGATACCATTAGCTGTTTAGATATATCCATAATTATAACTTTTATAGGTTTACTTTGTGTTCTTGTCTTAGAGTTAGCGTTTTGATTTGATTGTTTTTGACTCTTAATTTCTACCAACCTTTTCTCAGTTTTGCTTTTGGGGTCTTGAGGAGATTCTTGCCAGAGGAGAAGGTTGAGTCAGTGAAGGGTATGGCGCTAACAGCTGATGGAAATGGTGCAGTGTTTGATGTAGCAGCTGAAGATTTGGATTTGTTTCTTGCTGGTATTATTCTTATCATGTTTCAATATGATCACGTATTACATTCTCATCAAGCTTGATAGTATATTAAAGATTCAACCAGAAAATATTTTTCAGTTCTTAGCCGATTCTTGTGGTTGTGTTAACTTGTATGTTGGGTGCAGGTCAGGAAAATGCAGCTAATGTGAGCATAGAGGTGTTGAAATCACTGCCTGATTTACAAGAAAAAGAATCAAGGAATTCAAGATTTGGCGGTGGTGGAAGGTTTGGCCGTGGTGGTGGAGGTGGAGGTTTTCGAAATGATAGGTATTCCAACAATCGATCCAGTGGTGGTGGGAGGGGTCGCGGCAACAGATGGTGAAGCGCACATAAAACGGCTCCTTTCAAGTAAGCTGTTGCGAGCAAGTAACAATATCAAATGGTTGCATTCGCAACGGTTTCAAGTGGTGGAGGGACTAAAAGCCAGTTGATCTGAGCGGAGGCAGGAGTATATTTTTGACAATGAAGAAAATATTCGGTAGATCGACGGCCTTGATTGGCTCGTTATAGGATCATTTTTTCTGCGTATAGCATATTCCGTCAACTCTTCTCTCTATTTTATCGTTCAATTTTGTTCTAGTTTCTTCGGCCTATAAGTTTTGTCCTTCTGTTTTCTTTTGCCCTTGGTAGTGGATGGGATCTTCCTTTTTCCCATCTGCTTCTCAAGTTCGTGGTGCGTAAGAACTTTCTAACTTGTAACTTTTCTATCTACTAGAGAGAAAAACAAGTTTGTTTTTTTTCTTCTGATGTTATTTGTGTTAACTTACTTTTAGTCTTCAGTAGTAATTGTTCTTTTATTTATCTGAGTTGAGAGTAGCAAACTAAGTTGAACCAAGATTCGATCCGTTTGTGATTATCACTTCACATACGTAAGGAAAATATTGAAGTCTTTTGCATAACAATTAACAAAGCATATAAAAGAACCTCACAATCAACTCGTTTAGAAGTGTTTTTAGTGAAAATATTTTTAAAATCAAATCTTTGTAAAAATTTATTTGGATTTCAACAAGCATTTAAAATACTTTAAAAATCCAAGTTAGTTTTACTAGAAGCTTTTTGACCTGGATTTTAAAAGTATTTTCAAATAAGTTTATAAATTTTTATTTTTAAGGAACGATATTTTTTACCGTTAAATCCCGAATGAGCTCAAATAACTCGAAGACTTGACGCCTATTAAGGCTTCGCCTATTAAAGGCTTCAAACACATTTTAAAGGTGACGGATTGCAACAAAAGAATTTTGACCAAACAATTTAAAACCCACCGCTCCAAAACCTTCTGAAAAATCATTCATCTTTCTAGTTTCTTCGAGACACCCAATTCGTCATGGGATCGTACAGGAGAGCAAAGCTCGCAGTCGACGCCTTCCGCGGCTTCACGGCGAGGATTACCCCCAAAGCCGCCGCCAGAGAGCCCATCTCTCGCGTTTTCTCAACTGGGTCTTCCGCTTCCGTCTCCAACTCAGCTAAGTTTTCGGGGTTTTCTTCCAATTCTTCAATTTTACACAAATCAATTCCGCAACTTGGTAGAATCACAAGAACAATACAGTACAAAAGCCCCTTTCTTGATTGCACTAAGAGATATTACTATGTCGACCGGAAGCGGGTTCACCACTTCAAGCCGAGAGGCCCCCGTAGGTGGTTTGAGAGTCCCAGGAACGTTTTGATTGTGGGTCTGGTGGGTTCTGGGATTTTTATCACCGTGTATTTTGGGAATTTGGAGACGATTCCGTACACGAAGCGAACCCATTTTATAATTTTGTCGAAAGCCTTGGAGAAGAGGTTGGGGGAGACCCAATTCCAGCAAATGAAAGAGAGTTTCAAAGGGGACATTTTGCCCGCCATACATCCGGATAGCGTGCGCGTTCGGTTGATTGCCAAGGATATAATAGAGGCTTTGCAGAGAGGGTTGAGCCATGACGTGACCTGGACTGACGTGGACTATGCGTCCGGTAAAGTGGAGCTGGCACATGAGAGTGGTGGCAAGGACACTTTGATGGCACTGCAGGATCCTCCGGAGGAGGGGAAGTGGTCCCGTGAGGATGAGATTCTTGATGATCGATGGATTGAGAAGAGTAGGAAGACAAGTAGGGAGAGAGGTTTGAAAGCTGCCACTTCGCATTTGGATCATTTGAATTGGGAGGTTTTGGTGGTGGATAAGCCCATTGTCAATGCATTTTGCTTGCCGGGTGGGAAGATTGTCGTCTTCACGGGGTTGCTCAAGCATTTTACAAGTGATGCCGAGATAGCGACGATCATTGGTCATGAGGTAGGAAGATTTCATTGCTTGGCATTGTGTGAAAATAAGATTAGAAAGTTGATATTTTTCTCATTGTACATAAAAACTAGGTTGGCCATGCTGTGGCTCGACATTCTGCAGAGACTATTACAAAGAACCTGTGGTTCGCAATTCTGCAACTGGTGCTTTATCAATTTGTTACGCCTGATGTTGTCAACACAATGTCCAATCTTTTCTTGAGGCTTCCTTTCTCCCGAAGGTACTTTACAGTTCTTTATAATTTAGTTTCTAGTCCTTTTTAGTTATAACGTTATGATTTTTCTGAACATTTCTTGTTACTGCTCTCTTTTCTGATGCTTAAGGAGGATGCATGCGTGTTCTGGTTGCAAATAAGGAATAGGGTCTTGTTATTTATTTCTCACCAAAGGTTTTTAATTACTGTACTAGGAAGTTGATAAAATGGTATGGGTTAGCGGCAGAGCTACTATGGCCCAGGGGGGCATGTTTCCCCTTTCAAGCTTTCGACGGGCAATTGTTTTTCTGCTTTTGTGTATTGCCTGTATGATTGTCCTTCTACAAGTTTCTGTTGTTGCCAATTCATAATTTCTCTACTCCAAGGTATTATGTGAACTAGTCAAGGCATCCTATATCAAAATTCTCTTTCTAGTAAAATGCAAATTTTTTTGCAATTTATGTTTGTTGGAACAAAATTGTTGTTTTACTAGGACAAGCATTAAATTTTATATTTCTGAAATACATGTAATACAAGCTTGAGGCTTTGTAATAATTTGAGGGACGGCCCCAACTAAAACCTGGCTCTTCCCCTGGTATAGGTCATATTTGTTCAGTGAAATATTTGGTCTGGTCCTTTTAAGATGTTTAAACTTGCGGAATCTCCCTGAAATGTTTTAGAGCCTTGGGAAATATTTTAACAGTTTATCTTAATGTGAAAAGAAGCTTCTATGATGTTTTGTTTGTTGGGGGCTGTTTCACACCCCCCACTCCCCCAGTTCACCGAAAAGATAAAAGGTTTTATGATTTAAAGTTTCCTGTTAGTGCTTTTGATCACTGATGCTTCCTTGGAAAAGATAATAGTGACCTCCATTGCTACCTTACTGAAAGATCCGTGAAATGCTCTGTGATACCATTGGATTGGTCTTGTTAGATTACTATATCAGTTTTAGCGAATCTATTGAGAATTCTTTGGATTAAAGCTTGGATGTGCAGTTTTGCGGTGTACAGTTTTATTTTCTAATGATTATTACATCATAGTGCTTGTGAACCAGCTGAGAGCTTGACAAAATGCTGAAAACAATCCTTTCACACAAAATGCTGAACACAATCCTTACATTTTCCATGTTTGTGTGCTTATGCTCTCTTTCACTTAATCAGGATGGAAATTGAAGCGGATCACATTGGGCTTCTGTTGATTGCTTCTGCTGGATATGATCCCAGAGTGGCTCCAACTGTGTACGAGAAGTTGAGCAAGGTTACTGGTGGTGAATCTGCACTCAGAGATTATCTTTCAACCCATCCATCCGGGAAAAAGAGAGCTGAATTGCTGGCTCAAGCTAAGATCATGGAAGAAGCACTCGCTATATACAGGGATGCAGGAGCAGGACGTGGGGTTGAAGGCTTTCTTTAGTATAGTCGGTAATCACCAGTGCAACTACAGTTCCATTTTTTTCCATTTATTTTTTTCGTTGTTTTCAAAGATGTTCCTGTATCTGCATGTTTGCAGTTGGAGAACTCTTTCCGTTAAGTTTAGGTGATCCGAATACTTTGGTAGCCCTGAAAATATGCCCAGAACTTATACGGAAGATGCCCGAAGAAATGTGAATAATGGGGTTCTCGTTGAGATTACAGTTTTTACTTTCTGTTCATGCTGCCTTGGATGGTGGTTAAGATTTAACATTCAGGGCTTCCTGTAAAAGTTGTATAAATTTCACGCCCAAATTCTGATCTGTGTATTTCTTTATTGTGATAGAAACCTAGAAGCAAGATTCGAATGTAGGTGCGATTGCGCCACGTTTGGTATCTAAGATTGGATTGAATCATTTGAATTTGATAAGCTCACTAGATTTTGTTGACAAACAAACAATCATTTTCGAGGAATCAGTCTCCTATTCTTCTCGCAACTGATATTTTTCGAGTCGCCAGTCACAAAAAATCTGAATCACTATGTTTGTAACGTTGTCATCAGAGCGTAAAGTGTTTTGAGTTTACCGTTGGACAGGGTTGTATTTTTGCGGAAAGAGATCCTCTCTAGATCTCTTCCGTCAAAACCTTCTAATCAATTAACTCGGACTTCTTGAAATTTGATTCAACGGTTAAAATTATTATAACTTTTAAATGGGCCCTTGTTTGTAGCCAGTTAGATCAAATTTCAAGGGTCCGGATTAATTGATTGGTAGGCTTTGGTGGAAGAGATTCGGAGATGATCTCTTTCCGTATTTTTGCCACTTCTCCTGTTAAGTTAAATTGTAGAGTCGCAGTTGCTGGAGAAATTAGAATCAAAGGTGGTTGTGGAGAAGCGAGGGATTGGAGGTGGTCGCCGGAAAAGAAAGGGAGTTACGGTTGTGGCCGTTGGAGAGAAGACGGCCGGATTGGACGGAGAAGAGGGGTTGACAATGAGGAAGAAAAGGGGTGCTTGTATATGAACATCTCGTGTTTGAGAGAGTTTGGACATGACAGGAAAGTTTAACTAGGTCACTTCAAAGAGTTAGTATTTTGGTACTCTTTGTGAGTGCTCAAGTATTATCTTATTTTTGACATAAGTAGTTATTTCATGTGCTAGAACGAGTCATTTGAATCAATTCTTTTGTTCAACCAAGTCAACAAAAATAGGACATTATTATTCACAAACTCATTTTTATTTCTTATATTCTTGTTATATTTTAGCCTTTGATATTTTTAAATTTATTTAACCTAATGATAAAATTAAAAAATAAAAATAAATGTGCAGATAACTACACCTAAAAAGTAATTTTCTTCTCCAACTAAAGTCAATACTCCATCGTCCGTCCTAATATTTCTCTTTATTGACATTTCCTTAAAACACAAAATATTAATTGCTTCAGTTCTAATTTATGGTAGAGAAATTTCTTTCTTCCTAATCTTTTTTCCTTGCTCTCATTTTTTATTTGAAATCACATCAACGTCTTATATAGATTTTTTTATAAAAATAATAAGATAAAAAATAATATCTAAAAAAAAAAAGGACGAAATGTGATGAAAATAAAAGAGGTGAGAGTCGTATTAACCCCGGGAATTGTCGGGCAGCTTTCAAATCTATCAAACATCTGAAGAAAGTTGGACAGCTTTTATGAACAATCCACCTTGCATTAATTATTTGAGAGCTTGATTGTCATCTAGTGACCTAATCACGTATTTATATATAGAGGTTTTTGATGTAAAATGATCTTAAATATTGACATAACTCATTATTTTGATTTATTAGATTTAAAATTGATTGAGGTGACTTCTAAGTTTGTTTATCGTCAATTATTTTGATTATTTCGTAAAAAAAAATCTCAGTTAAATAAAATTAAGATGACAAAAATAATCTCAAATTTTGTCAAATCATAGTTGACCCATTGTTTATTAGATTAAGGATATTTTTGTCATATTGATCATTGTTTAACAAAGATTTTTGTACGAATGATCAAAATGATTGATAGTGGACAATATCAAAGGCCGAACTAAGAAATTATGCCAATCTCAAAAGTTATTTTAACTAAAATGCCTATATCTTCATCAAGCAGGCGCCAACATCTACTGTCGACCGTTTCAAGGACATAAGTCCACTCACTGTCTTTGTTGAGTCGAAAAAAAAGCCAATTGGTACATCTCCAGAAACATGACCATAACAATGCAATTGTCGGCATTTAGTATTGGATCTTCTGAAATTGTACCCTTGTACACAAAATTATATCCATGTTTAAGCCGACTCAAATTTGGAGGGCTTAGTGGAGGAAGCTGAATTATTGACTTTTCACGATCTCCTCTCTCTGACACTAAGAAAGAAAGGATTTATTAGTGATACAACATGATTCGCATCCACAACCATAAAATCGTTGTCTTGGCAAATTCAATTGGGTTTTACGAACCTTGTCATCCACCGGATTGTATAAACACCACTTATCCTTCTCTGTATCAGAAGAAATCAAGATCATTGGGGTCGCCGTCGCAAGGCTTTGTTTATCCTTTGCAGCCGAACGCCATGGCTTGCAAACAAAGCTGAATTCTTTTAGTGACTCAAGTTTCTCTGCAACTAATTTTAAGTGCTCTCTAGGCAACGCAGCCCAATCTGACAAAACATGGAAGTAAAAAAAGAAAAGAAAAAAACAAGTCAGCTGATGATGACGACGAAGAATTAGATGGTCACCCAAATCCCGAACCAATCCTTTTCGGAATTTTTTCGGTTTAGTTTAGGATTTTCGGGAATATATTCCAGCCCTGTATTCAGCAAACCATATATAGAAACAGATACAAAACAATCAAATTTGTAATTTGATTTTTACCTATTCTAACGAGAAATAATAGAATTTCACAAAAACCGAAAAAGCAGACAGTCCGGTAAAAGTTGTATCAATGAAACGGGATTCAAAACAACAGCTCAAGGTCATGAAGAAAAAGGCCTGCATATGACTCTACGGATATGACGGAAACAACAACAACAATAAAAATACCGCATAGCAAACAGAAAATTTAACCAAATCAATACTTTCAATAAGAAAACATACTTCGATTCATAGATTCTAAACAAGATTTTGGAGAATATCAGAAAAAATTGAAGGCGGCTACGGCTCCTGTGGTTTTTTGACAGAAGATAGAACTAACTTTGATTTTCTTATATTATTCTCTCCAATACGGAGGCAATATACATATACATCACAACCTTGCGGTGCAAGGAATATTAAACAAAGAGTCTATCCTAAACTAGGAAGGAATCCCTTTAAACTAGGAAGGAATCCCATGACTTTCCATTAAATATGCCAATCTTGCTCCGTACTACCACGGAGACATCCACACACTTCAGAGACTTTTACAGCAGGACCCTTATATATATATATATATATATAGGTACTACAAAGTGTTTCTGTAGGTACGTTCTTCACCATCCTCCCGACTGCCATGGATGTTCTTTCCTTCGCCTTACCTCCTCCCATAGCAATAAATTTAGCGGTAGTAATTTTTACCGCGCTTGTGATAAGATCCCGTGCTAGAAGGTTGGGTGCTGAGAAGAAAAAGAGATACCAGCCTATAGTCTCAAATTTCTTAAACACCCTCATCAACTTCCCCAGGCTGCACCATTACATGAACCGATGACCGAGTTTGCACACAAACACAAAACTTACAGGGCGTATAATGTGCTCATACATAATGTCGTCACCACGGATCCTGCAAATTTTGAATACATCCTCAAAACAGACTTTGCAAACTATGGCAAGGTATGCTGTCTGACTCGTTAAATGACAAGTACATTATATTATTTTACCACATGTATATTTGAAGGGTGAACATCTTAATGATTTTATAAGGACAATATTTATGTTAAGTAATTACCTTAGTTATCTAATTAATAACAGAAGTCCCGATTCCTGATCTGCTGCAGGGTTGGTACCACTACGGCGTTTAGTCAGATGTTTTAGGAGACGGGATCTTTGCTGTGGACGTAGAAAAATGGCTGAATCAAAAAAAGGTATCGATCAATGAATTAAAAACCAAAATTGTGAAAGACTTCAGCAGTAGAGTCTTCAAAACCCAAGCAGCAAAACTTGCCCGGATAATTTCCGAAGCTGCAACCTGCAACAAAGCAATTGAGATCCAAGTAAGTTTGTCGTGTTTAAAGACTCAAATATAGCATGAATAGAATTAACTCTTTATATGAGGAGTTTCATAAGGAGATCCCACGGCACTGTAGCAAACACAGGATAAACTAGTCTAGCTAGCATTATTCTAACGTAAAAACTACAAAAATTTACTTTCAATAGACCAGGGGCGAAGCTACAAAGGCGCAAAGAGGTGCAGTCGCACCTCACTTCGCCAGAAAACATGCCTAGAAGCGATGGTCCACCCCTCTGATTCCCTTGGAAAACCTGCAACTTTGTGAGGAGTTCTTGCTACTATGCAACGTAGGTTGCGCAGGGGTCTCACTTTTTTATTTATTTATTTTTATTTTTTATCGAAATACCTAGGCCAAAGAAAGGAAGAATGGAGAGCTCCATTTTGCAGCTTCTAGAAATAGACTTTTGGTCAGGTTCTAACGAAGAAAAAGAGAGAGGAAGAAAAGAGACTCTCTCTCCCATCCCACCCCACGCACCCTTTCAAAATTCACCCAATTTGTTTTTTGTTTTTTTTCCAACTTATTTATAGGATATATAATAAATTTATTTAAGCAGAAATTAGGTTCTCATCCTTCCTTTTACTACTCCATTAATTATAACCTTATTTCTTTTCAATTTTTGATCAAGGTCCTTGGTATTAATAACATCATTAATTATTTCAATAATAAAATATTTTTTATTTCTAAATAGATTCATTTAATGTTAAAACTGTTACAATTAGTATATTTATATTTATGGCTAAATTTTTATCATATATTTTTATTTTTCGTTTGTACCCATTTTTACTTTGCAACCCTTTTTTAATTTGTACCAATTTTCTTTTTAGTTTTAATTTGTACCCATATTCTTTTTGGTTTTACTTTTTGTGCCCATATTTTATAAAGTTTATTTGTATTTGTACCCATATTTTTTATTTATTTATATGTACCCATTTTTAATTTTGCTAAATGTACCCATGCTAATTATATGTACCATTCATGTAATTTTTTTTAAAATTTTTAATCTTAAAATGTACTCATTCTTAAATATACCAATTTGTTATATGTAAAATGTACCTTTTTTTTTATATAAAATTTATTCAATTTTTTTCCTAATCCATTTTTAAACTTATATGGGTACATTCTTTTTTCTTTGATTTGAGAATGTATCCATGTTATGTTTAATTGAAGAAATTTACTAATTTTGTTAAGCCTAATATCTTATTTTAT